CTGGTCCCCGGGTGCCTTCCGAGCTTCAGTTTTATTAAAATCTTCAAAACCAAACCAAACAGAAGTGCTCAGTGTGTGAACGCCCACCAGCGAGTCTCTAGTGTGGAGGCATTAGCCTCCCTGTGCTCCGGTCTGCAGGCCCTGCTGGGTGGCGCCCCCGCACTCAGCTGGCTCTGACTAGCTGTGTGTGAGGCTCTGCCCTGCCCCTCCCTCCCCCGTGCGGGTGTGTGTGTGTGTGTGTGTGTGTGTGTGTGTGGTGGCGGGGCTGGGCTCTCCCGGGAGATGGGGTGGAGGGGAAATCTCACCCCCAACAGTCCCCAGCCTCAGGAAGCCAGGCGGGAGTCAGCGTGTTTCCTTTAGTTTGGAAAATATACCTGTTTTTCATAAAAAGTTGCTATTTATGTTAACATGGGACAGGGAGCCTATTTCTAAATAGGTTTCCGCATAAACATGTAAAACTTCTAAAGTCATTAGCAAGAACCCACACTGACACCAGCTCTGGGCGCCTTAGTAAGTTTTTGAGTTTGCAGAGGAATTTTGAGACCAGAAGTTTGAAAACTTGGATCAAAGGCCTGGGGAGCAGGTGGCCTTCAGGGGGTGGATGGGACCCCCCCCCCCGCCACAGCTCCGGGCTGACTCTGTGACCCCCGAGGAGGCACCTGCCCTCTCTGAGCCTGTGCCTCGGTTTACCGTCCTGTCCACGTGGCTCACGACAGGCACGGACGACGTCAGCTCCCTTCCTCTCCCTGTCCTCTGGCTCCCTCTCACCCCATGGGCCCCCGAACCCGCCAGGTCCGGAATATTCCAGGAAACCTGAAGGGACGCAGAAAGAAGGGGTGGGTGTTCGGAGACAGGGAAGCCCTGGCGGGCATCCGCGAGACGGTGCCCGGCTTTGCAGAGGACGGGAGAAGCATGCGACGACCACTCCGAGTGCCAGAGCCGCTGCTGCGTCCCCAACAGCCTGAACCGGCAGACCTTCTGCGCCGCCAAGACCATCTTCCTCAAGTGCCTGCCCTGGCGGAAGGTGCGAGCGAGCAGGGGGGCGGCGCGAGGGGCGGCGCGAGGGGCGGGGCGGGCAGGGCCGCCCGCGGCGGGGGAGGGGCCCGTGGGGAGCGCCGGCGCTCGGTGTCCCCGCAGCCCAACTGGGACGCGTGCTCGGACCACGCCGAGTGCCGCAGCCGCTGCTGCGTCACCAACAGCGCCAGTTCGCAGACGTTCTGCAGGCCCAGGGGCATCTTCCTGCAGTGCACGCCTTGGCGCAGGGTGAGGGGCGCGGCGGGGCGCGGCGGGGCGCGGCGGGGCGCGGCGGGGCGCGGCGGGAGCCGGAGCCGAGCCCGCTCTGCGTCCGCAGCCCAACGGCGCCCGCTGCGGCCACCACAGGGAGTGCCGGAGCCAGTGCTGCATCGCGCTCACGGAGGTCAGCCGGGGTCCCCGCTGCGTCCGCCGGAGCGGCCTCCTGGCGCAGTGCCTGCCCTTGGTGAGCGCCCGCCCCCGGGAGGGGCTTCCCGCGGCGCCCGAGGCCGGCGGCCAGCGAGGGGGGCCGGGTCTCCACACCCGCGGGGCGCCCCCTTCCGGGAGGGGCTGACGCCTGCGGCCTCCGGGTCCGTTTTCCTTAACCGGAAAGGAAAGAGGCCCTGGGGAGAACGGGCCCAGCGGTCAGGGTCCCAGGGGGAAGCAGGTGCCGCGCGCCTGGTGAAAGGCCGTTAGATGAGGGGCTGCGGGGTGAGCCCCGAGCGGGGGCAGCATCAGGATTCGCAACCGTGGGACTGAGGAAGGGCCGCCCAAGGGAGGAGGACTCCGGAGCCGCGCTCTCCTTCCCTCCGCTCCTTCTGGACCCTTGTGATAGCGGAACAGTAACCCTAAAACCAGAAGGACAGAGGTCAGCCTCCTAGGGCACAAGACCTGCGCCCGTGGCAGACACAGTGGTGGGCGTGGAGACGAAGATGGGGGGACAGAGATGGAGGCAGAGATGGGGAGACAGAGATGGGGATGGAGATGGGAGATGGTGATGTGGACAGAGGTGGAGGGTGGAGATGGGGGACAGAAATGGGGGGATGGAGATGGGGGTGTCAGAGACAGTGAAGGCATGAGGGGTGGGTACCGGAGACAAGGGAGTGGGAGCTTGGAGAAGGGTGGGGGCCACAGCAACTGGAGTCGGGCTCCGGGGTTGCGGAGAGAACACCAGGGTGCCGTGTTGTGTGGGTGTTCAGGCACCTGGCTTGAGGCTGGGATTGGTAACTTTTTTCTGATCATAAAGGTGGGGGGTCTCTGTCTCCCAGGTAAGGACCAAATTCTTGAGCACATAACCCCATCTCGCTGGGTGCTGTCGGCTCCTCGAGGAGCCCCGGGCACAGCAGGTGCTCACAGAAACATGTTCCCTGCTGGGCTCCCACGGCTGCCCTGGCCGCAGGCGAGCTGACTCCATCCGAGGGGGGCGGAGAGCTGTGAGGCACCTGTCTCCCCCGTGCATGTGGCACTTTCTCTCACTTGGCCCTTCAGTGACAGGGGAGCTTGGGTCTCGGGTCCACGCTGCTCTCTCCGGGCTGTGAGAACCTGGAGGCGTCTGTCCCTTCTCCCAGCGGTGAGCTCCTGAGGCTGATGGTGCGTGTGTCCGAGGACAAACTGCGGCTCCCAGAACCTTCCCATCAATAAACACCTGCTAACTCACCCGACGTGTTGTGTTGCGTCCATTTTTGTTTTCAGACAACAAAGGTAAAAACAATGTGAAGCCGTAGCGTAGTGGCACCTGATTGGGTCACGTACAAGGTTGCCTTCCTGAGGATGCGAGTCTAGTCAGAGATCAAGTCTCACTGGGAAGGGAAAGAGCCAGAGCTGGAGCACTTAAGACACAAGGCGGAGCCCCTCCCCATGCACCAGCGCCTCTTGTCCTTGCAAGTAGAGACAGTCGGGTCAGGCGTTCCAAACTGAGAAGGGGCCGCCAAGAAGAGGTGGGAGCTGAGGTCGCCCTGGAGGGGCTCCCACTTCCTTGGGTCACTTGTCCTTCCGTCCTTCCTGCTCTGGCCCCAGGTCCGGTAGCACCTCTCGGAACAGGTGCTCTGGCTAATTAGAGCCTATCTGCACTTCTGTGGCTATCTGTGGCTTCTTGCGGTTCCCAGAGCTCAGCACCTTAGTCACCCGCATGACGATCTTCTGGGGTTTCCATTACCCACACCTGCTGACACTAGGCTTCTTTTCTGGGCTTCATTAAAAATAATTTCCTCCTTCCTCTCCTCCTCCTCTCCATCCTCCCCTCCCACTTCTCTCCTCTTCCTCTCCCTTTCTCCTTCCTCCTCTTTCTCCTCCTTATCTTGAGCTAAGATGATCCTTGCAGAGAAAGGAAAAGCCTTGCTTCTATCCCAGTAAGAACAGCTCAGGTAAGCCACAAATCATAGTTAAAAAACAAAAAACAAACAGACAAAAACAAAACAAAACAAAACAAAAGGAACAGATCTGAATGTAAAACATAAGATCTAAAGCATTTAGAAGAAAAATAGGGTAGGGGTGCGTGGGTGGCACAGTCCGTTGAGTGTCTGACTCTTAGTTTCTGCTCAGGTCATGATCTCGTGGGAAAAGCCCCCAAGATTTCTGTTGCTTTGCACTCACTAGGGAATCTGCTAGAGATTCTCTCTCCCTCTGCCCCTCCTCTCTCTCTCTAAAACAAAAAAAATCTTAAAAAAATAAATAGGCTATTTTCTTGACCTTGGATTCAACAGAGTTCTTTGATGTGGCCACATGTCCCTCATAAGAGAAAAAGTAGATAAACTGCTAACATAACTTCTGTTCTATGACAGACACTTTTTTAAAAAAAGATTTTATTTTTTAATTGTTATGTAATCTTTACACCCAAGGTGGGGCTCAAACTCACAACCCCAAGGTCAAGCATCACATGCTCTACCCACCAAGCTGGCCAGACACCCCTAGGGTAGACACTGTTATGAGAAAGAACACATCTAACAAAGGACTTGTATCCAGAATACATAAAAACTCTTGAAACTTAACAGTTACTAAACAACCCAGTTAGGAAGTAGATGAAAGTCTTGCACGCATAGTTCACCAAGGAGACCAAGAGATGGTAGAGAAGCATGTGATGTGTTGGCTGTCACTCGCCAGCTGTCAGAGCAGACCGTGGAATGGCTGGGACACTCCTGTCTCCACTGCTTATGCCAGATTCATGGGGACACCCACATCCCTGACCCAAGTCACTTTTCCACACCTGTATTTCTAGCAGCTAAACATAGTTCCAAATTGTATCATTCACCCAAAAGACAAGTTCCCTTTTAAGATTTGGAAGAGATTTCTGTATTTTTATTTTTTTAAAATTAAAGGAAATACCATTTTTTTAAAAAAGATTTCATTTGAGAGAGCATGAGCAGAGAGGGGGGAAGCAGACTCCCCACTGAGCAGGGATCTCCACGTGGGGCTAAATCTCAGGACCCCAGGATCATGACCTGAGCCAAAGGCAGACGCTTCACCAACTGAGTCACCCAGGCGCCCCAAGATTTCTGTTGCAGCTCAGAACGAGCCGGGAGCTCAGGCCCAAGGGGAAGGCCTGGTCCTGAAACAGGGGCCCTTAGGTAGAGCCCAGGCCTCTGAGCAGGCTTCTGGGGGAGCAGGTCTGCTGCCAACACCCACGACCCCGGGGAACACAGGCAAGGTGGCCATGCAGCCATCTTGGCGCACGTGCAGTTGGAGACCCACAGACCGTGGGCCTAGTGCGCGTGCACAGGGTGCCGCAGGCGGGGCCGGCCGGGACGTAAAGGGGCAGCTGGTGCGGAACCGGGGCCTGGGAGCTGGCGCTCAGAGACGCTTGGCGTCGATAGATCCAAGCCGCATGCGGCCCCTGAAGCCCGGGCTGGACAATCCGCACTGCTGGGCATCGAGGGTCCAGGGGGATGGCCTGGCTGCCCTCCAGGGGGACATGTGGGAGCCTCCTTTGCTGGAGAGGCCCGGGACCCCGGCGGCAGGTGGTCCATGGCGCTGGGGAGGTTCAATGTACCTCCTCAAGGACCCTCCCAGGGTGGGGGTCCTTCCACTCTGAGGCCGGTCAGGTGCTCTGGGGCGGACTGGAGCTCCACGGGGCCGCCAGGTGGGCTGGAGAGGGGCAGAGGGTGCCGTGCAGGCCGCGCAGGGGGAGCGGGGGCGGGCTGGAGGGGGGACGAGGAGCAGCGCAGCTGTGGGAAGAGGCCGGGTCACAGGTGGAGGTTGTCTGCGGTTCTGGAATCCGCCCCATCCAAGCCCGATGACACGAGCACCTGTGCCCCCTGAAAGCCCATCTGGACGCAGGTGCACTGACTTTCCAGCAGTGGTGGCTGCTGGCCGGCCGGTGACCCCGCAGTGAACGACCCCGGGGGCCGTGGAGGCCGGGGAAGCCGGGACCCGTCCTGCGGACAGGCCGAGCCGAGACGGGCGCCGCCGCCTGCCCGCGGTCAGCTCGGACAGTCTCGGGCTCGGAGGCTCTGCGGCTGCGCCTGGAAGGGCCGAGGCCCACGCGCGGACACGCCCGCTTCCCCGCACGGGTGGGCGCGTGCCTAGCGCGCATGCGTGAGCCGCGCAGGTGCGGGGAGCCCGGGACTCCGAAGAGGGCGAGCGCGCAGGGCGGCTGGGGGAGGCGAGCGGCCACCGGGTCCGGTCCTCCGCCTGATTTCCGACCCCAGGCGACAGTCCTGTGCCTGCTTGTCCCCCGGAGGTAAGGCTGGAGGATCGGGGTCTGCCTTGGTCGCCGGGGCGGTGTCGGGGCGTCGGGGGGAGGCTGGCGGGGTGTTTCCCAGCAGCAGACACCTGGGAGCCTGGACGCCTGGTCGCCCCGGAGCCCTCCGGGCAGGCAGCCGGTTGCAGGGGCGCGGACTGTGCCGTCGCGAGCTGTCCCCTGACCAAGGGCTGGGGGTGCCTGTTTTATCCCGGAGGCCGCTGGGGTGAGCCCGGCGACCCCGAATCCCCACGGGCTCCTGGGCCCTCGGCTGGCTGGCGCGGGGCTCCCTGGGCGAGCTCCGGCTGCCCGGGTGCCTGGAGCCCAGGATCTGGTGCGGGCGAGGGGCGGGGGCGGGGGCTGCCTCGCGGGAGTGGCCTGGGGGGTCGGTGACATCGCCATGTTCCCGAGGGCACACAAACGCGTGTGTTCCGGGCGCCTGGGTGGCTCAGTGGGTTAAGCCGCTGCCTTCGGCTCAGGTCATGATCTCAGGGTCCTAGGATCGAGTCCCGCATCGGGCTCTCTGCTCAGCGGGGAGCCTGCTTCCCTCTCACTCTCTCTGCCTACTTGTGATCGCTCTCTGTCAAATAAATAAATAAAATCCTTAAAAACAAACAAACAAACAAAAACACGTGTGTTCCTCCTGCAGGCAGAGAGGACGGGTCTGGAAGCCTCACGAGGACAGACTCCAGCGGCGACCTCGGCGGTGGCATGAGAGGCCCCTGGAGCCTCGGCCTTGCGCACAGTGAGTGCACCTGGGCCGGACTCACCCTTGGCCGGGGGCTGCCTCTAGGGGAATTTCAGGGCTGGGCTCCCTCCACGGTGGACACAAGGTAGAGGGGCTGGAGACGGCCTGAGGCTCCCGGGACAGTGACGGGGTGATTGCCCCGGCGGGCGTGAGCCCCCCAGGTCAGGGGAGCCCGGGGCCTGGAACAGGGGTGGTAGCAGACCCGTGTGCCCCTGCCTCTGCCCAAGTCCAAGCCCAAACCCACATAGACGCACGCGTGTCCCCCTGAGGTCTGTGGGGTTTCGGGGGCCGGAACGCTCCCACAACAGTCTGTGTCATCCTGGCTTTAATGTTAATGATACACTGAGCAGGTATCTCCCACAAACAATGGTTTTTAGTTTATCATTAAATAACACACCCAGTCTCGTGCTAGATTATTGTCCAGGTATGGGGAGAAGAAAGGAAAAAACTCAAATATCACGGAGGGGTGATTTGATTGGAATCAGAGAGCGACCTCCGCTAGCCGAGATCTGACCTCCAGTGGCCAGAGTGAGATTTCGGTGACGTGGAGCTGGTGTCCGGGGAAGCTGGTGTCCAGGGGAGGCAGGTTGTCCTTCCCCGTGGGGCCTTTGCGGGGCTTTCTCCCCTGCCGGTGAGGGGGCCCCACCAGCGGGGGAGTCCGGGTCAGCAAACTGTAGCCTTGCCCGCACCGACACTGTCGCACAGCCCTCCAGCTCCGGGCAGTCCTGGTCCCCGGAGTCCCCTTGTCCTACTCCTTCTTCCTGTGTCTGCACAAGACGAGCCCCAGCGGGGCCTGCAGCCGCGGAGCTTTGGAACTCCTGGGCGGGGGAACGGACGAGAGGAAGCCGTCCTGCGCCGCGGGCTGCATTCTCGTGTCAGAAGCAGCCTTCTCCTCGCAGCAGAGGAGCGCGTGCGGGATCCTGTCCCGGCAACACACAGCCATCCTGCCTGTGGTTCCATAGCCCGCACCCACGAATGCACACTGGGACCTAGGGCCCTGCACAAATTCAAGTTCTCAGAAGTGTCTGTCTGCCCTGCAAGTCTGCGTCACCCGGAGCCTTGACCACAAACAGTCCTACTTTGTGACCGGTTTCCCTCTGAGGCACGTTCTCTGAACCACACTTTCATGACGGTGCAGGGGACTAGGTCCCGGCGGTGATCAGCACGAGCACGGTATGAAACCTTAACGTGGTACCGTATCCGGTTGCTGAACAGTCCACAGGTCGACCTCTTAAATCCCCCATGGCTTCCTTGACGCCGTGTTTCCGAGGGAAGGTCATGGACAGGAGGCTCCGGGGGCCCTAGCCTTTACAGCACCATCGGGCCCGCCTTCCCCTGCCGTGACGCCAGCTTCCGGGCTCTCATGATGTTAGAGGACTCAGCCTGTTTGGGGGATGGGCACCTGTCTAGAAAGTCCTGCCTATTAAGCTTCGAGTCAGAGGCTGCGATCGTCGCTCCCAGTACGGTCGAGGGAGGGTGTATCAGGAGCGAATCCCTTATTGCTGGTGTGGGAATCTGTGCTGGGAGACTGAAGGTCGACATGGACCACCAAGGAGGACGTGTGTTACATGCCAAGATCCTATGTGTGCTGTGTACGCAGTATAAGGGGCCCCTTGCTTTATCTTTCTTAGATTTTTTTCTCACTTGAGTTTATCGCACAGCTGCTGTAAGTTATAACAAGTAGAAGAATATCGAGATGTAATGAAGTGATAACGCCCCCCTCCCCCATCACCTACTGTTCCCGCTGCTTTGGGGAAAAATAGCGTAGTTTCTAGGCTTGTGTGTACGAGGTCGTCCCTGTGCAGTTTCAAAATGTTCAGTTTGCTTACATTAAGTAAAGTAATTCCAGGATGTTTCTGAAGGCCTTGATGATACCGCTGTCTTCACAGTAGATGATGCAGGTCCCCTGCACTGGATACGACAACGGTTTCTCATTTTGCCCTTGCCAGCTCTCATTTGCCGAGAGGCATAGACCTTTTTGATATCATTCCAGGCTTTAAGTTTTTTAAGAAGCAAAACAGCCTCCTTGGTCTTCTTGTAGCCTTCAACTTTATCTTCAGCCACCAAAGGAAGTTCAGGAACTTCCTCAGTATGAAGACCTTTAGACATGACCAGCGCTGGTAAGCCCGAGGCAGCCAGGGCAGAGCAGAGGGCATACCGCCTCTGTGTCGTGTTCACTCTGCGATGCCAACGGCGCCAGGTTTTGGTGGGTGCAAACATGTGGCCCCCACGACACCTGTTTCCAAAAGCAGCCTGGCCAGAACGGAGAGTCCCACCGCCTCAAACTCCGGGCACTGGAGCCACAGCTCTGCCAGTCCCCAGACTCAGTTCCGGTTTGATGACCTGCTGACTCACTGACAGCGCATGGCTGTCTGCTGTTTTGGGGCAAGTCGATGTGAACAAAGTTCACAATATCTGGTCGAATGGGAGCCTTGAACACAGCAGGCAGAGTAACACTTTTGCCAGATGATTCCTCCTTTTCGGAGAACACAGATATCAGTGGGCGAGCACACGCTATCGTGGGGAGATGAGAGGGCTGCCTTCTAGTTTTGGTCATTATTTCTCTTCCTGTCTAGAAGCTTTTTATTTTCATGGAATCCCACTAGTTCATTTTTGGTTTTGATCCCTCCCCTCAGGAGACGTGCCTAGAAAGAAGTTGCTGCGGCCAGTAAGAGAGAGGCGACGGCCTGTGTTCTCCCCTGGGGTTGCCACGGTTTCCTGTCTCACATTTCGGTTTTTCATCCATCGTGAATTTATTTTTGTACGTGGTGGAAGGAGGTGGGTCAATTTCATTCTTTTGCATGTGGCTGTCCAGTTCCCCCCGAACCGTTTGTCGAGGAGACTTTTCCCATGGGATAGTCATCCCTGCCTTGTGGGAGATCGACGGGAGAGTGGAGGGCCCATCTCTGGGCTCTCTGTTCCATCGATCTCTGTGTTTCTGGGCCAGTACCATGCTGTCGTGATGGTGACAGATTTGTAACCAAGCTTGAAGTCTGGAATTCTGATGCCACCAGCTGTGTTTTTTTTTGTTTTTTTTTTCCAAGATTGCTTTACCTACTCAAGGTCTTTTGTAGTTCCATGCAAATATTAGGATTGGTGGTTCTAGCTCTGTGGAAATGCTGGTATTTGGATAGGAATCGCAGGAAAGTGTAGACAGTCTTAGGTAGTAGAGGCGTTTCAACCATTCTTGATATTCCACCTCAAGAGCATGGAAGGTCTTTCTACTTGATTGTGTTGCCTTCAGTTTCTTTCGTCAGTATTTTATGGTTTTCACGGTACAGGTCTTTCATCTGTTTGGTTTAACTTATTCTTGGATGTTTTATATAGTTTTTTGTGTGATTGAAAGTGGTGTG